TTTTTCACATCTGCCTAAAACTTTTGCACAGTACTGTATATGAAAAGGGTGGTGCTGATAGTGCAATGCAATCAGAACGATGAAAGCACCGGATCTTGTGGATGCCTCTGCCCTTTGGTGTACACAAAGAGGAACAAGAGGGAACAAAGGACAACACATACCTAACAATAACATATGAATGTCACAACTTGCCTACTTGCAACAGGCATTTGGATGTAAAGATAGAAGGGTGCATTTGAGTGATGATGTTATTCTGCAGATGATATTATTTTGGCATAGTAGCAGTTTGCTGCCGACACTGCTGCTCTTTTTTGTTTTATATGATTTTAAAATCATACTAGGGCACTATTCAGTTCTGTCTTGAGTGGAATCAGTGGGCTTTAAGTATACAACTCTGTAATGGATCACAGTGTCTTTTAAAGAAAATAGAACCAATATGTCTTAATCAAATTGGCTTTCCAGATGTATTCATGTGGATAATTTGCAGAATTCCCAACTAGCAAATAGAATTTAGGAGGGTTGTATGTCAAAATATCAGGAAGGCTCTAAACTGGGAACAGTTTTTCTAGTATGGTATATGAATTCTAGTTACATTTTGGAAAACAAGCATCTAACTTTACAGACTTTCTCTCTAGGTCCTAATTTAAATATGAACCCACTTCTTGCCAAGGCAATCCCTTTTTTCCCCTTTCCTTCCTTTTGATTAAGAGTAATTCTAAAATAATCAGGTGGAAAAAGTAGACAGAGTTCTAATGTCCATTAATCAAACAATAAGTGCGTATTGTTGAGATGCTAAAGCAAACAAATGCATCATCACACAAATCAACTCAAAACTCTCACTTGAGGCACAAATGACCAGGCTCAAATATCATACTTTAGATTATGACAAGATTATGACAGACCTAGCTCTCTGGAGAAATCTATAATATTGGGAAAGATAGAAGGAAAAAGAAGACAAAGATGACCAGTGGCAAGGTGGATGAATGTAATTGCAGTGGTGATAGATGCACCACTGGAAGACCTGAAAGACCAGTTGGGGACAGATTGTCCTAGAGAAAATCTATCTATGTGATTGATAAGAATTGATACCAACTTGATGATACATGATTAATTGACACGCTGTGAGGAGCAAGCACATTCACATCTATATCTTGACCAACAGAGTCCGCTGGAGTTGGGTGGCCAATAAATTTAAATAAATCAAAAATAATAATAACTTACATAAATCTAGGCCATGGATGTTTCTGGCTCTGAGGATTTTTACTGTGAGATTATAGTAAGGATGCACTTCAACCTGAAACAATAAGGAAGAAAATTCATTTTAACTTAATTTAAGCAAAACAAGAAATATATTTGGACAGCGTTCTAGACTCCTAGAATTCTCAACCACTGTGATCAATCTCTACTGTGCTAATTGTGAATCCTGGGAGTTGCATTCCCACAATTTTTAGAAGGCTCCAGATTGGAGAAGAAAGTAAGAAAGAACATGTAAACATGAAGACATGAGTATTGCTACCAAATGTGTATTTTAACCTAATGGCTAATTTAAATAATTACTGGTTATTGTGTAAACCTGATATCCTCCAGATAACTCTGACCTGCTCCCACCATCATGGCCAATGGCAAAGAACTGTGGGAGTGATAGCCCAAAATATCTGGAACACACCTGGGTGCTATCCCTGGGTACTTTAAACTAACAAAATAGTTTATTTTATAATGTTAAAAATAATAGAACAAACCAATGAAAATCATCTATTTAATTAGGCATGAATATCTCAGTATAGTACAGTAGATTTGGTCAGAGAAATTTCAGAGCTTTCTAGGATTGGCAACAATACAGAAATGATTTATCACTGTCAAGCACTAACCAGACCCAACCATTCTAAGTGTCTTAGATCAGCCAAGTGATCTTCAGCTCAGTGATCTTCAGCTCAGTGATGCCCCCTGCTGTAGATGCTACAGTAAGCAGGTAAACAAAAGCAGTTAAGAGTAACCTGGCAATGGAATCAACAACTCAGGGAAGTGGTGAGCTCCACTTCCCTGGCTGTGTTCAAGAAAAGATGGATAGCTATCTGTTATGAAAGACTTAATTTGGATTCTTGTGCAGAACAAGCAGTTAGATGTGATGAGCCACTTGGCCCCTTCCAATTTTGGATTCTATAGGTGCATTTGATTATTATAATAGGAAACACAAATTATTTCCTCTAACTCAGTGTTTCTCAACCTTAGCACCTTTAAGATAGGTGGACTTCAACTCTCAGAATTCCCCAGCCAGCCTGTTCTAACTGAACACTTGCCTAAGAATTTACTAAGAATATAGCTACATTTATATTCACATACTTCCATGTCCTTTTTCTTGATAACATTAACAGCCAGAAGTGGCAGCATTCGAGTTGATAGTCGGCCAAGCATCGCTGAATGCAAGATCAGAAACCAGGCTGAGGAACATGCTGGGCCTGTATTAAACACAGTGAAAGTGGAAAGGCTTTTGGTGTCACTGAACAGGGGGTATATCATTATGTCCTGTCCTGCCTCTCTAAAAATAAAAACAGTAATTATGAAAAATGGCCTAAAGAAACCTGTAGCATTTGCTCTAAGGACGTCAGTGAAATATTTGTGTTCTTAAGCAGGAAATGCCAGTTGTATCCAGCATTCTTTATTCAGAGAAATTAGGGCACAATATACTCCAAAGAAGTTATTTTCTATACCAACAGGATTTTTTTTTTTTGTAATTCCTTAGGAAGGAAAAATTCAGTTTTAGCTTCCAAATTGAAACAATAGCAGCAGACTTAAAGTACAAAGTACAGGGCAAAATATGTCACAATGCATTCATATTGTTTCTAGTAAGTTCTTCTCCATTCTAAATATACTGCTACAGAGAAATCCCAGAATTATCTATATTTCTGTTACAGAGTTTGAGCATCACCTGTCTCAAAACATTCCACCCTTCATTTCTTGCTATAATTATTAACTACGGGTGTCAAGAGGAAAGGAAAGCCTATGAATTTCCTGCATAGTATGAATTATGATATTTAAATTATGCGTGCAATCATGAATTGCTATTCATCCTTCAAGAATTAAAAATGGAACTGATTCAGAGGTTAGAAAAATACACTTATTTTCCAGAGAGACTTGGGGAGCAGGTTCTGTTTCTCACATATAACTAAACCACAATCACTCTACACACATGCAAGCAATTTAAAGACGTGAAGTTGTTTAATCTACTAGTCCAATTTAAGAGTAGGAGGAAACCAGAAAGTAAGACATGGTGGCCGTGTTCACATGACATTGCTGATTGAGTCATTCCTTCCCCCAGCCAGATGGCCATTCTCCCTGTGCTGGTATCACGTGAACCAAGATGACTCAATCAGTAATCCACCAGCTCCCTTTTTCAACCCATATGGTCATGTAGTGGAGGGGAACTGAAACGATCACAGACAGCAGTTGGAGAGTGCCAGTATCTGTAAAAAAAGAAGGAATCAGTGGCATTGTGTTCACAAAAAATGTGTGTGTCATTATTGAACGACTAGTCTGAAATATACCTAATTAACTGAATCTGTTTACATACCTTTATATTCACTATAAACTCACTGATACAAATTTTAAAAATATCTAAATTGCATGTTAAGATCACACTCTTAATGGCTGTGTGTTTTGTAACAAAGACTATATTTTTGTATATATAAATAAGATAAATAAGATAAAATTATAATATATATTTCTCACCAAATAAGTAATCAAAATCAAGCTAAGTTTAAACATACAATTATACTGCAGAAGACCAATTCACAGAGCCACATTAATATCTATTTTTGATAGGGCGAACCAGACTTTGACATCCAGGTGGACTAGTGTTTTGTGAAATCTTCTAACTATAGTTCTGAAATTAAAAAGAGAATTCAGTACAGACCAAATTAAAATTTGAGAACCACCAGTTTGAAATTCTGCTGGACTCCCAGATATTTGAGAGCTGTACCAGCTGGTTTCAACTATTTTGTTCAAAGAGTCCTCTTTAAGATGAACTAAATCCTACAGTGACTTCCAACAGTGGCTTGACAGTTCACAAACATTTCTAATGGAACTACTGCAGGCAGTGTTTAAAATGAGGAACCTTATATCTGAATGTACTTCTGCAGTAATGGAAAGCAATTCTACTTATTTACACTGGAAGGTTCCTAATTCTCTTACTCAGTGCTGTCCCCACTACATGCAAAAGGTGTTCCTGCAGTTTGGGATTTGGCATAGAGGTTCACAGTAAGTGGGAGAGGGGTATCAGCAAAAAGTAAGGGTCCTGATTAGTTGAGGAGAGAAAATACCTTGCACTCACCAAAAAATGAGTTTAATAAAAACCACAATATTGGAAACTGTTCGTGATAAATGCTTCAATCTAGTTATAATACTGTTACCTGGAATTTTGTTTCTGCATCCTATAAAAAAACTTGACCTCCCCACCCCTTAATAAACACTTTTTGCTTTGCCTGAATTACTGGGTGGTTCGTATTTTCAGGTAGGCTAAGAAGCCACCTTTGCAAAGGTAAAATGGTTTTCTCTCCCAAAT